TTTTGTCCTGTTTTACGCAAAATATTGTTGCTTTCAATCGAACTCAATTGCCTTTTCCGCAAAGAGTGCAGCCACAGCATGTTTGTCGATTGGCTTATTTGCCGGTGCTCTTGGCGCCTAATCCACTCGCCCAATGTAACTAACGATAGGTGTGGCTATTTTCTCGTCAGCAGTAAAACGAACTCAGTGTACTAAAAACAACACAATAAATTACGTAGGGGATGACTTTTTTTTCTGTGACCACTCTTCAGAGTACGGATGCATATGTAGATGTATGCATGTAGTTACATATATGTGTGTACGTATGCCTACGATTGAATGTTTTTGCGTTCTCACCTTAACACTGCCACAGCAATCGCACCGCTGTAAGCTGAGGTCAAGGACGCCGCTCGATACTCGAAGGGTAAATTCGCCAACCATATGCAGACCCGTTTTGTGTTAGAATTTCGCATAAGTATGTGCATGCATGTGTGAGAATCATTTTTTGTTTTTGAGAAAAAGGCTGAAATTTGAGGTATTAATTTGAAGTTTGTACACCTCAATGGTACTATATCTTTTTAACAAAAATAATACGAGAATAAAGCTTAATAATTTATTGAAAATGTTTATTAAGTAGTTACCATGCAGTGCCAAAAAATTCAGATTTGTTTCTTTACATGAAAAAAATTTTGAGATTCGACGACATGGGCCCGAGCAGTAAACTCCTTCGACTAAAATATAATGATAATAGATTGACTCTTACACAATATGTTAGTGTTTGGCCGAGCTGCTCCTTCGATTTGTGGCGTGCGCCTTGAGGTTGTCACACAAAGGGGAGGGACCTACACTTTTACGCCGACTTCGAACGGCGATTGTATTCTTATGAAAAGCTGTTTTTCATACCCGAAATACTCCCGAAGTTTTGCCATTTTCTGCCCAGGAGCGACCGCTATGAGAAGAAAGTTTTTCTTTATTTTTTTTTCTTGATGTTGGGTTGAACCCAGGCACTGCTAACCACTACACCACAGCGGCCGCCACACATGTGTAAGTGTATTGAAATTTTGTAGAACCTTCAACACGAACCTACAGAGAGTGTACAGATTTTAGGTGAGAAATGTAAAATGGATGCTATACGAATAGCTTGATTAAAGCCTAGGACTCGAAGGTCCACCTCCACCTACTGTCCATATTTTTAGTACACATTCACTATAGTCGTATATCAGGAAAATGTATACCGAGCACGAAGAATGTTTCGTCTTCGGGAAGAAAAGCTCAACCAGCGGGAATAGATATGTAGCTTAATGCATCGCGGGAGAGGGCGACCGGGCGACCTGAAGCACGCGCTTCTGATTTGTTCGAGTGCCTGAGATGAATACTAAAAGTAGTTGTCCTTAAAGCAGTTGAAGCGTCCAAACTACCAAACTAAGTTGCAACTAACAAAGCGAAAATATCAAATGAGAAGACACTCCAAAGGCAGCAGGATTCAGAGGGCAAAATTTGAAAAGTAAATAAACTTTTCCTAAGCAGCTGCCAGAGTGCCAACAACAAAACCAACTGCAACTTTATAATTTTGCTCAGGTCAAAAAGTGCACAACAGAGAATGCAACAAAATGGTCACAAACACATCTGCAACACCAGCAGCAACAACAACAGCTTGTACTTTTGTCATTTTTTGCACCATAGTTAGTTGATGATGTTCTTTTTGCTCCCGAGTGGAGTTGAATGCATTTTTATTGCTCGTTGACGTGCAGCAACAAGCACCCCCGGACACGCCTCTCCAAATGTGGCTGACTGCTGACGATTGTGGCTGTTGCTGCGACAGTTGTCCACAATTTGTTGTTCGCTTTATCTGCGCTGGAGACAATTATGTAGCTGCTTATTTTAGATGTGCGCATTAAAAGCAAGCAAGCGAACAAACAGAGAGACAAACCGAGGCAACGAATGAATAGGAGTAGCAAAATTTTGCAAAAGCTTGGAGAGGGAGGGAATAGATGCTGACATGCTGACTAGACATATCAGCGCAAACTGGCGCGGAGGACACATGCGGCTGGGTATGGCAAAACGGAAGTCAATGTGGCGTGACTGGATTCAACACTGCTGGGATCCTGCGCTATGGAAGGGAGAGAGAGGACGCTTAGCAAAACAAATGGTGGATACCCGTATATGACGTCGACTGAACAGGGCTCTTTTAAATATTGAAAGCACCTCGAGTTTTTTTTTTTTTTAATTATTGCATTTGAAATGAAGAATCAAGCGCACGCATTTGTGTGCTTAAGTTACTTACGTAAGGATGAGAAGTAAGAGTTTTAAGATTCAAAAAAAAAAAAGTAAACGTCACTCACAGTGTACACTTCAAGCTCCAAATTGTAAGAGAATTCAATGGAGCCCCAGAGCACGGATGTCTATGTTTCCGTAATAAACCATTCCATTTATTCCTCATTATACTTTCCCCCCTTTTTCAGCATTCATTGGTCCTTTTTTAATATATATATTGCGCAGCATATTCATTGGCATTGCTTATTTGCCAAAAATAATAATTAGGCAAATTAAACAAGGAATTTGACCTCAGTGGAGTTGAACAAGGGAGGTTCATTCACATCTCGAAGACGTGGGAAGCCCAAAGCCTCAGCCACAATGCAAAGAGGTTTTTCTACTCCGCTGCTGCTGTGGGTATTAAAAGTTAATACTTTTGACACTTATGTACGTACATACATTTTACTGCCCCAGCTGAGGACGCTATCTTCGTGAATTCCAGCTCATCATTATAAAAACTTGCGACCTTAGATCTATGTGACTACATATGTATATACTTTTTAAAGTGGGAAAAGAAAAAACTTAAAGCCATAAACACAAATTGTAAAACGATGGTGTAAGTACTGCCTCGGATTTTAAGAGGCGGAGTGTGCTGGATCACCCGCAAGCGCTGGGATAAATAACTGCCACGCATGCAAATTCGAAAACGAGGAGCCCGCAGGCAACAAAACGAGGCATTGGAAACTAAAAATAAAAGGAACAACACAAATATGCCACAGATGGGGAGGAGTGTGGGGAACTCAGACGAAAATAAATTACTGTAGCAGCCTGTCAGTCTGCCTGCCTGCTTGCCTGCCTGCCTGCCTGCCCGCCTGCCCGCCTGCCTGCCTGCCTGCTTGCTTGCTTGATGGCAACGGAATAATGTTGTTTTTGTCTTTTATTATATTTCTGCTGAGTGTTGCTGCCGCCTGTTCCCATGTGGCACACATGTACAGCGAGCGACAATAACAATAATTCCATTTCTTCCATTGCAATGCAAAAAGTGCTCTTTTCGTTTCGTATTTGCTTGCCGACGTCGGCGAGCTGCTTATTCTGAGCCGTCTGTCTGCTGCCTGCTCGTCCCGGTTGCCATGTCAACCATTGTTTGTTTTCCATTTGTCGCTTTTGGCTTTTTCCTAACGAATCTGCCTCCGTGCTGCCTTGTCAGGATGCCTTGTTGTTTGTGTTCATCATCGCTTTAATGGATTTTCTAACTTGTCAACCTCAAAATGGCAACGAGAAATTGAATGTGCAAGAAACACAGTAGCAACAACAACACCAACAACAACACCAACGCACAAGCGAAACAAGTGCTCGAGCTGAAATGATAAATTCGACAAGTGTTAAACAACATTAACATCAGCGGGGGATGGGGGGCGGAGGGGGGGCTTGGTTGCGGCATCGAAGTGAAACGCTGCCAAAGGGCGGCAATGGGAAGGGTGTAGCAAGCAATGCCGAGTACATCTCCATATGTACGTGCCCTGGGGCGAACTGTCGGCGCTTCTAAGGCGAAGTTTGATGATGTTTATTATTTTGCCACTTCGCACACGAATTCCATTACCAGACGACGAGCATGGCGGATGTGAAGGTTGTAATGACATTTTGGCAAGATTATTGCAAATGGCGAGTGGCTGTAATTTGTCGTTGTTGTTCACATGATTTGTGTAGGTATTTTAGCTTTGCGAAACTTATTGAGATATTCATTTCCTTGTACTGACGAAAATTCATAAATAACTACTTAATTCATTGCTGCATCGGTGCTTAGGTGTGTGAGGACCCGCCGCCGAGTTGTCAGTAAAAACATTCTAATATATCCCCTTACCAACAATCGTATGTTTTTTCACATTATTTAATCACTTGAAGCTCTAGAAAGTCATCGATAAGGTTGAGTTTTGACACTCTAGGGTTATCTAAGGATCCTTCCGATGGCTCGCGAATATTCGCTGCACTCAGTACCATAAAACGGCACTGATTTTACTGCTGAAATTTTTTGCTTTGAATGCTTGGCGGGATTTGGTGGTTTGTTTGAATTGTCGGTTTCTTTATTATAAGCCACTTCATCCTCCAGGACGGACAGCATTTTCTAGCTAAATTTTACTTTAAAACAAAGTCATTTATATTTATTTAAGGTAAATGCGAGCACCAACTTTTTCAAATATTAGATTCTATCTGTGTCCGTCCCTTCACATTTAACGTTTGATTTCTGCACTCGCGCCGATATTTTCGACAGTTGAAAAGGGATTAAATAAGGCTGAGCTCGCTTCCGAGTATCAGTTGGCCCGGTCGCGCCGCCACGTTCTTTATTCATTGGTGCCACTTACAGCAATGACGCACTCATTCGCACCTAACTACTTAGCTTTGTATGTAGCTTTGAAATTACCCAAAAATATAAGTATGTATATATGTACGTACGTATCTTTTTTATTCTAAAAGCAACTATGCTTGTATCACTAAGTTATGGCATACTTACTAGTTAATCTTTAATTTTTTTATAAAACGCATGCAATTTCCAAACGAGAGCAACTTTTAATGCCCATAAACATACATAATATGTGCATTGTACATACACACATACATATGTACCTACATATCCTTACATAACTATTTTTTATTTTGTGATTTTGTGATTTTAATTCAACACATCGTCGTACTCCAATTTATTTCATTGCAATATTTTTAAGCTAAATTATTTACAAACTATTTGTTTTTTTTTCGTCTTACACCCTCAGTCCTCAGTATTGATTAAAAATGAGCCAGACATCAGCGTCGCCCAACAACAGCAGCAGCAGCAGCAACAGCAGCAGCAGCAGCAGCAAAGCAGTTCAAGCAGTACTGGCATTGGATCGGATGGTGGAGGCAGCTGCAACACGTCAATGTCTGTAACTTCCGGCACTGGAGGCCCTGCAACCACAGCTGCAGCTAACACTAACACTAACACGAACAACTGCATAAGCAGTATGAGTCAGACTGTAAACGGAAGCGGCCCATCGGCTGCCACAGTCTCGTCGGTCGTCGACAGCAGTGCTGCCAACGCGAATGGCGTTGCCGCCGTTACAACCACCGCCACACCCGGCAACGCCGGAGATTTGCTCGCCAGCGGCCACCAACAACAACTAATGATTGGCATAGGAGGCAGTCAGGCCACGGGTGGCACTGCCGCCACCTCCGTTACCGCCACATCAGCCGCTACGGGCACCCTGGCTGCGACTAGCAGTGCTGCTAGCGTCACCAACGCTGGATTGTTGCCCTCAATCATGTCCGCGCCGCAGTCAGTAGCTGGCTCAGTTGACTCGGGATCGATTGTATCGCCGTTGGTGAGCGGCGCGAGCACCTCGCAGGTTATCGCCTGTCTAAACGCGGCCAGCGCCGGTGGTGGCATAATTACCTCTGCCGGGCCGTCCACACCCGCAGCCACTAGTCTCACTTCGGCTCTAGTCCCACTGCATCAGCAGCAGCAGCAGCAGCAGCAGCAAGCCATCATTGATGCCAAAAATCAACCAAAGCGTTTGCACGTTTCGAATATACCATTTAGATTTCGTGATCCCGACCTTCGCGCCATGTTTGGGGTGAGTTGACTCAGCCAATGACTACACAATCTAAATATACATATATATGATACAAATGTACTTAGTTTCTTGTCTATGGCCTATTGCAAATGCCTTTCTAATATTTTAAATAATTTTTGTTATCTCCTGTGCCTTGGCTGGCGCGACCCTAATGTTCGGACGACACACGACACTTCACGATTCCCAACAGCAATTTGGTACCATTTTGGATGTGGAAATCATCTTCAATGAGCGCGGCAGCAAGGTGAGTAAAACAATTTCGATTCTGGCATATTTATCTATTATGGACATAAATATACTAGGGCCCTGCACGAGTAGTTAAAAAGCCATAACTGTAAATTTAGCAAAAGTCCACGTCTCACACGTTGCTCCCGAATTTCGTTAACCCATAAGTTCTACTATTTCGGTTTGAGTGCAAACTTGTTTACTGGGCCATTAAAAAAAAAAAATAAATGGATTTGAATATTTTTTTAAGATTTCGTATAGCGTGTTCCTTGAAAATGTGATCAACTCTGTTCATTTTGATCCAATTTTCGTTTTCAAACTATCAAAGTATTTTTTTTTCCTCATCACTCGTTACTTTATCCAAATTGGCTGCTTCACATCCCAAAAATTTCTAAACAAATCTCATCGCAAAATAGATTAATTGCACAAATATACATAAATCTCATTAATTAGAACATTAGAACATAGTTTGAAAAAGTGTAGATATAAATAAATAAACAGTATATTTTAAAATAAAATGAGATCTTTCGATTGGTGTTCTCAGTTTTTGAATACCTCTTTTCGTTTCCGAGTTATTGACTAAAATTTTATCGGTAATTTAGTAAAAAATTTTATCACGTTTAACCAACAATTAACAATAAAAATAAAAATAAAAAAATTAAGAATATCCTCAACTAGTAACTTTTTCCTAGAAGTAGAAAGTCGATTGTTGTGTATCAATAAATTCAGATGAGAATAATCACGTGTGTAGCTAAAATGTTTTGAAGATTCGTTAGTTAAATTAAGTAATGATGATAACTCGAACGAGAGAATTTCTTATGAAAGGCCTATGTTTTTCATGTTTTTATAGACACATCCTGGAAAAAATCGTAAGTTGGAAAAGCTTCCGGGTTAATAAATAAGTAAAAAAAAGTAATGCTGTTTTATTAAAAATATTTTTATTTAACAAGTATATGGTGCCACAATATAGAGTTTAACATGCGGGAGTGAGCGACATCCCTTTCGTGATAAGCCCGTGCAGGACTCTACGTATATAGTATGACTTATGTATGTATGTATTTTATAACGAATTTCTGTCATCCCTTGTCAAGTTTGGTTTGGAGAGAAACCTGTTTCCGCGTTGTACATAATACACATGTATGAATTTAAAATCATGTAGATAAATAGTGTTCGTTTTTAGAAAAATTTTACAACATAAATATTTCTGGTCAGAGCTATGTCGCTTGAAAAGTTAAATTTTCGCTGTAACATGCCTTTATGAAGAGGTGAACCGACTTTCTCTTCGATTGTTAAAAAGCCATCCGCATCAAGTGCTGGTGGTAAAGAATGGCAAAAGAGATAAACGTAATCCTTCGGCTAATCGTCGCCGAGATATTTTTTTATGGATACAGATCCAGCCTGTATGCGACTAAACGTTGTTACGCAAACAACATCTCAGACTTACATTATATGCCATGCGCAAAATTACATCCAAAGGTTGTCTTTAGAATGTAGGGTTCAGGTTTTTTTTTTTTTTGAAGAGAAACATTTTTATACTAGAGAAGCGTATGGGTAAAAAAGTTCGACTTTGCCAAGCTATCGCTCGTAAACTAAGAGCCTTGGAGCTTTGGGCCTATGGAGACTTTTGTGTACGTGTTAAGGGCGATCAAAAAGGGCGAGGAAAAAAATAAACATTTTTCTTGATATCTGTAAACTAATTTTATTTCATATACGAGGTTTGGGCACAAATCGGACGATATTAAGTTTTGTGATGCTGTCAAAAAAGCCAACTTTATTTGCTTCATCTCTGGTTCTCTTTTTTAAGCCAAGGCAATAAAGAATGTTGTAGGCTACATGGAATTGGCTAGTTTCTTATGCCATGGCGGTGTTACCCGAAAATGTGTCCTCCTAATTCCCAACAAACACAGCCTCTTTTAATCTTCTACCTTAGAGAAACACGCTGAAATTCGAAACAGTTTCTAATCGTTCTCCAACCTAAATGTTTGTTCGCTTTTACACATTTTTGCTAAAAATCTTAACTTACATATGTATGCATACGAACATATTCATATGTACATATCGTTACCTTAATTTAGAAAGGCCCTAACTCATTTTCTTTTCAAATCCAGCACTGTTGAAAAGTCTGCCGATTAATCATAATAAAAACCCGTTATAATAATAATAATAGATTGACGCTTACACATACATATGTTAGTGTTTATAAAAACCCATTAGTTTCTCAAAATAACTAATACAGCATAAAATTAGTCGCATATGAATATTCTTCAACAAAAATAGCCTGCGGAAGAAATTCGCAGCAAAGGGACTTGATTTTCTATGGATTTCTTCCATCAACCCATAAAGAAACCAGAAGAAAGATAAGGCTTTTCTATATTAAGGTAACGATATGTATGTATGTATGTATGTACATGTTTCTAAAGAGTAGTTTAGTTTAAATAATCGTTCATTTGCTTTTATTTGAGCCATGAATATTTGAATTTACCATAAGATTTGAATACATCTCTATTTGCAGCTGCTAATTTAACTTACTACATATGTACATATATTTGTATGTATGTATGTATGTATGTACATTGTTTCTTTGCTTAACATGTCCTATACTTATATATGTAAGTCTTCAAAAACGCTCACCTTGCGTAATAGTCACAACGCCAAAATCTAAACACAATTAAACAACTGCAGACACTAACTAACCCTAATGTAATCTAACATTCGCTCCCTCTTTTTACACAAGGGAGAAGCTGAAAAGTTGTTTGCCAATTATTTTACTAATTTCCACTTTATCGCTATCTAAGCATCAACCCCTTCCGAAGTTGTAACTTCTCAAAATGTATAAAATATATACATACAGACATATGTAGTATGTTTAATACATACATACATACATATTTATCTTCTCAAAAATGTCGTTGTCGTTCTTTCTTCGTTAGTTGCTGATTCTGTGAATCGAAAGAGCTAAAGGTTATTTTTTTTTTTAATTTTTTACATTTGCCGCGGGCCACAACATAAACCTCGCTGGCTTCCAGTTCTAATTAGTTTTAACTTCCCCCTTCGCTATTGCAACGAAGCATTTGCCTGAAGCTCTGATAGCAGCAGTAACCTGCCAAGATCAGCTCATTGCTGAAATTTAATATCTTTTTTTAACTTTTGTTATTTAAATAAAAAACTTAAAATCTCTTTCTGAACACGCATTCTGACATTTGGGGCGACTACACAGAGCGAACTAACTCTGGTTCGATAATTTCATACATTACCTCTAAATTTGTATAAAGAAAATGGGTAACTCTCTGCATCCATTCAATATTCAATATACTCCAACAAAGGCGGATTTTCTTACCCAGCAAACTCTGCACGTAGCAATCAAGTCTTAATTTGTGTGCTGGAATTTTGTTTGACAAACAATTTCCGGCTATTTTCTGCCAGTTTCGTAAATGTACATACATACACTACATATTAATGATTTACATTACTCGCGGAGAAATTTGAATATTTCTTTATAAAACGCCATTCAGCCATAGATGGTATGGAAAATACCTTTAAAATAGTGGTCAGATGCAAATCAAATATTTATGAATGCTCCTATTGCACCTAATTCAAACGCCCTTCCTGCGTCGTTCGTATGTTCCACATGTAAATATAGTATAGGTATGGTAAAAATATGTACAACCAAACGTTAAATGATTAAGGGTTTTTAATTTATTCAATGGTTCTATGGAATCTATTTATTTCTGTTACCTTTAAACCTCGTTTGAATGACAACAATTCTAACATAATAATTTTTTTTTTCTTTTTCACGCATATTTCTTGTCCGATTGCATGCGATTTCGATTACAATTTGCTGGTGCTGTGATGATTATGCGATGCTGCTGCAATAAACTACTACTCATACGCACTCGGCCTTTCGCCTGTAATGTGACATGTGGCACTCGCCGCTGGCTTGTCTCTGTGGTGGTGTTTCACTTGTCATCTTGCAGGGTTTTGGCTTTGTTACGTTCGCAAATAGCACCGACGCTGAACGAGCACGCGAGCGTCTTCACGGCACTGTGGTTGAGGGACGCAAAATAGAGGTGGGTGCATGTTGTTGTACTATTATTATCTTAAACCTATGCATTTAAATATTAACAGACGATTGCATTATTTTTCTACTCGTAATATAGTACTTTAATGTATGTATACTAGATTTGCATTTGTATCTACTACTATTTATTGCATTCTTGAACGTATGTATGTTTTATCTATGTATGCCTATTTCAAGCATATGACAATATTAGAAATAATATTCGCTGTTATCATATAATATGCTAATATTATCACAAATAGAATTACCTACATATAATAAATATAACTGCATTTAAGTAATCTATGTACATAAGTTGGGAAAAAATAAAAATTTGCTTACTTTGAGGTGGCACAACAGAATATTGTTGTAACAAAATACGCAGAATGGTGCGGACTGACGCATGCTTATTTAGGTTAAGAAAAATATACGTACATATACATATCTAATATGCATATGCAGGTACGCTATTGAAGAATATCGAGAGTAGATCAAATTGGCACAGTTATCGAACAACGGTGGGTTGCTTTGTATAATTTTGTGGAATAAAAGTTCATAGCATTTTGGTTTTTTTGCATGATTCAATAATGAAAGGTTTTGTAAGAAAAACTTTCTCTCGCTCTAATTTTATCAATGACACTCCCACCCTACTCCTAAAAACAAAAACAGTGATATTTCTTTCCCAAATTTCTTTGCAAGTTTTAAGAACATTTTTAAATTGTTAGTAGTGAAATTTTTACTTTTTAAATTTGAAGAAATGTTTGTTCTGCATTCGCTGGCGCCAACAAGACAAAATGGGTGAGAATCGTTGGACTACAGAAATTCAATGTTAAGAGACGAAATTCCCTTAAATGCCGAAATGTATTTGTCGATATTCGTGGAGACCTCTTGATTCTGCCAAGTCGCTGTAAAGTAAAGCGTTCAATGAGCCAACGAAGGTATTTAGGTATTGTACTCCACGACACAATCCTGGTGTCTCCGAATGAGATTTTGACGCAATATAACATTGCCAAACCGCATCCATAGGCCCAATCGTCACACGACAGCTCGGTTTAGTCAATGGCGCGATGTAATTGCACACTTAAAAGGTGTACGCACGAGGCGAATGTTGGCTGGCGACCAACTTTATTGAAAGCGATTAGCTGAAAGTAGAATGCAAAGTTGAACAATACAAACGCCTTTTTATGGCGAATATTTTAATATTTTTTTATATTTTGATATTTTTAGTCATTCAAATTTTTTTTCGTGCAACCCGGCGGGAGTTGAACGCAAAAGTTGCCTGAAAAATCGACTCGTGCGAAAGCCCCATTACGCCACTTCTCATTTGACGATGTAGATCACGTTCCCTATCTCAGTCGTTCAGTAGCTGCGTGCTCTGAGTTCGTCCGGCACCAATCGCCAACTGCGGCTGTGCAAGCCAGTGTTGAATATTTTCCCCAGAACATAAAAAGTGCGACATCAAAGAATTCGAAACAATCGAGCCATAACCGCGAAAGAAACGTAAGCTCCAAATTTTTTTATTTGCCGTTTTTTTGTTTAATAAATATTGCATATTTTCCGCAAACAAATAGCTTCTTCATGTTCATCAACTGGCAAACAAATACAACAAAAAAAAAGCTGAAAGTGGACCATCCATTCTCGAGTTATGCGCCATCTGACGTACGCAAGTTTGGTATAAACATAGAAATATTTATTTTTAATAACAATAGGGGGTTATATTCGATGTAAATAAGCTTGTTTAAATTAAATAATTAAATCAAATTCGTTTTTGTTTTAAAATACCACCATTCACTATTATCCACACGTTTTTATAGAATTTAGCTCCCATTTTAGGAAGTGTGATTGAATTCTTCCCCCTTTTTCTTCTGCTTCCAAAAACCATCCCTGTGGGTGGGAGTGCCAAATTTTAGAAAAAAGCTACTTACAAAACCTTTAATAATTGAATCATGGTTTTTTTGTATGTTTTTCATATTCATATTTGTCGATTTTCCTTTTTTATTAACCACTAATAAAAGCTTATCTTAAAAAAATGTTTTTACTTATTACTCTTTTAGCATTTAAGGAATATGAATCACTTAAAAAATTTTTTGTTTCTTAAATTTTTATTTTTGTGCGTTCAATCTAAAAAATTACGTTTTTTGACGCTGAATCGCCGGTTCCGGTTCTTGCCACTCCATACGTCCACGTTTTTTAATTTTGAATTTTTCCATACCTTCAAAGCTACAGCCACCCATCTTTCCGGGTCTTAATCGGGTGGCAGACTATCTATGGGTGGCTGTTGAACGGGGCACCAATAAAGATCCCACCCCTGATTCTCTAAGAGCAATTATTGTATAAACTTATTTAAAAAAAAATAATACTACTTTGAGTATTTTCTTCGTTCGAGTTTGAAATCATAAAGCCTTTCTCTCTATAGTGCAGACCATCTACAATTCTCAAATTAAAAACAAATATGATAGAGATCAATGGGGTGAGCATAATGGGCGCGTTTCTAAGACGTAGCTGTTGCTAAACTGTTGTGTGTTTGTTTCAAAAACGCACAGTTGAGTAGTTCCGCTCAGCTCAACGGTTGGCAACTTACGCCATTTTTCCCCATCATCTAATTATGTTAATAAAATAAAATACACGTAGAAATACATACATATATTAAAAGTAAAATATGAAAAACTCCATTATAAATCCTGTGCTATCCATATTTTTAGCTAAATATTTTTTTTTTAATTTTTGTGCCGTTTTATTTAATTTTGCTTGTTTACAAATGTCAACTGTTCATTTGGCAGTTGAACTCAACAGTTGACAGCATTTCAGCAAGAGTTGAGGTAAACAGTTGCGTCTTAGAAACGCGCCCAATGATATGCTTTGTTTTTGGGGTAAAAAAAAAAACTGCATGAATTATTAAAGGTCAAAAGTCAATTTTAAATCAAAACCAATGCCTGAATTTTAAATTCGTTAATTTGTTAATTTCATTTCATATGAAATATAATAATAATAATAATAGATTGGCGCTTACATAACATGTTAGTATTGGCCGAGCTTCGCCCCCGATTTGTGCGCTTTAATGTTGTCACACAGTTTTACGGCGATTGTATTTTTATGAGAAGCTGTTTTTCATGGCAGAAATACAATTGGCCCTAATACCTTTGCCTGGCGAAGGGCGAGCGCTATTAGAAAAAGACTTTTTCTTTTCTTTTATTTTTGGTGTTAGCCGGAAACTGGGCTCCATTCCAGGCCCTGCTGAATGGTAGTGCGCATTTCTAACCACTACACTACAGCGGCCGATAGGAAATATATAGCATCTTAAATTTGATATATACATACATATATGCAACCGGAACCGGATCCTGTCCGAAAATTCACGTCGAGTTATTTTAAAATGTTTTTTATTGATTGGAGATTTAAAAAAAAATAAAGAATACTACCGAATCATCTGGTTTTGGGCTCAAATTGTTTGCAATTGTTGTAATTGTAACGTTCCCGGAAAACTGGTATGATAGGTTGGCTAAATTCGCTTGAGCCGCTTTCCTCGGGATTTTTACATCGTTAATTACGAATCTTAAAACAGAGTTTAAAAACTAAAAATGGCGGCTCCATATTTGATCTACCATTTATCACGGTAAACTTAAAATCGTGGCTACGTACATGGCTTATGAGTAACATTCTCATCTTAGAAGCTCCTTCATTTAGACAGCTACAACCGTGATATTTTGTAGCTATGTATGAATTTCCCTATCTCAATCACGGCTTGGTGAGAAACCCACCAAGATCGGTGATCTATAAGATATTCCGCCCATGCCACTGATTGATCGGATATGAGTTTTTGTGATACAACTTCTTCCATTTAAGTTAAATTTGGTACCCTATTTGGTTATCATAAATGTATATAAAGATCGCAGTGATCACCATCCCGATTAATTTAGTATAATGCATAGCTCCCAAATAACTGATTGATCATATATTTATAATATAAATTTTGTGACCTATTTGCTTATAAATAAATAGCACCTTAAAATTGAATACTTTTACGCTAAAAATTCAAATACTAGAAATGTATTTCATAAAAAACATGTCCTTGCTTGTTTCCCATTGCATAACTGTTGAACTAGGAAGCGTCATTCGTACATATGTGCTTACATATGTATGTACATATATATATGCGATATGTCAATAGAAAAGGCACTTTGTTAAAGAGAAAGAACCAGGATTAAATGGCAATTTACATATTTCTGCATAGAGATCAATACTATCCATTACTTAAAATAGTAAATGCTTTTTTCTTGCACTGCTTCTCTCCTCTATGTCAAAAAAAAAAAAATTAAAAATAGCTTCCACTTAAAAATCGCGTTGGATTGTTAGCACAAAGGGCTCAGTTTTTTTTTTTCTTATTTCTATACTTTTTGACTGGCGCGGATAAAAATTAAGCAAATAAACGAATAAAAGCTTTAGAGATTTCACGGAATTTCGCCAGTATGTATGTATTAGAATACCACTGCGACGACAGCTAGCGGATGCAATATGCCGTTATGTGTGCTGGCAGTTGCGAAAGACTTGAATGTTCGGTGAAGACAGAACAGAAGCAAAGACAAGTTGGCAGATTGAATATGGGGGTGGCTTGTCAATAGTATCAGCTTTCATTGCTGGTATCGAAAATGCCTGCAAATTCAAAACGCTGTAAATTTCCGCGCTCAAAATCATAAGGAAATCCTTTGAAATCACATACAATCTGACAACTAACCCTGGAAGTCTCGAAACTCCAACCTAGGTGGAGAGGAGAAGAGAAAGGCCAGTCACCAACAGAAGCTGGGAAAACAGTTAAAAAAAAAAGTATTGGCATGTGTTTTCATATCTTTCAAAGGTTTACCGTAATTTCATATATGTATGTACATAAAACCGAGTTTTCCTTTATTATAAATTATTGATTTGTGAATGTATGTATAAAGAAAAAGTCCAGTTCTTTTTTACGCAGCAGATCATGGGGGACCAAATTTTTTCGCGAATAAATTTAGCTTTTCC